AAATTATTTTGTAAAAACTACAGAATTTTTTTTTACAGTGTAGGCTCAAAGTGTATGAATTTTAGTTTAGTGTTTTTTTCTATTACACTAAAGCATTTGGTGTAGTAGGATACATAAATGTACCTGATCTGTTGGCAAAGTACAGGATACACCTTAGTTAAAAAATAAGCTAAGCTATAGGCTTGCTAACCAAAAGCTATCTGGGGAAGAAAAGAGAGAGAGAACAAACAAAGGGAAACGTTTGTGCTTGTTTACACAATAAAACATAAACATTATAATATATAATATGTGTAATTTAAAAGACATTAATTAAAACTATAATGCAAATGAAATTTAAAAATATACAATATAATGTGATATGTGTAATATCATAGGTTAATAGTAATTTAAAAGATAGTAAATAAAAATAATAAACTGTAATGCAATTTGATTTTCCTATAGGTTTTAAAATAACACTTTTTTTCACTACTCTAGAGAGAAAAGTAACTTTATAATTCAACAGTTACAAAATTGATGTTGCAATCAGTGGCAACATAACATTTACATTTATTCATTTAGCAGATACTTTTGTCCAAAGAATAAATACTATATGTGAAGTGCTAGGAATACAAAGTTTCAGACATCGTTCAGATTAGTACAAGCAAGAACAGGAAGGGAATAAAGAAAAGTGAGAGCATAGACAAAGAAATCTGCACAGACATAATTTTAGAAGTTCTATAACTGATTTTGAGGAATTCAATGCATAAAATGAATGAATGAATGATGAATTTATATTGCGCTTTTGTGTATTGCCGTACACCCAAAGCGCTTTACAATCATATGGGAGGATCTCTCCTCAACCACCAGCAGTGTGCAACATCCACTTGTGTAATGCGACGGCAGCCACAGTACAACGGCATTAGTGCGCTCACCACACACCAGCTACAGGTGGAGAGGAGAGAGATAGATCCAATTCAGTTAATGGGGATTATTAGGAGGCCATGATTGACAAGGGCCAATGGAGGGAATTTGGCCAGGACACCAGGGTTACACCCCTACTCTTTACGAGAAGTGTCTTGTAAGAAATCTCATCTGTCTCTTTAACAACCCATGTTTAACCCTGATAACTCGGTAATTAGTAGTATATCTTATGTTTAATTACAAAATTTGGCATTTTTTCTCTTTATTTTCTTGTCTTAGTTGTGCTCTGTTTTCTGGCCTCCCTGGTGTGTTTCTTTGTGTCCTACCGCCTTCTGATTCTGATGGTCTTTCTCTTTCTTGTATCTGTGGTTGTACAGCTGGAAATGATCTCTCTTGCTCTGCGGCAACATTATCTTGTGTCCCTTGCATTGTTGCTCTTGGGTTCTCTTGTGCTTGTGTCCTGTCTCTTGCAGATGAAATTTCTGTTGATAATTCTCCTAGAACCTGTGTTTCCATAGATAAGGAATCTTGCTCAGTGGCAGTATACCCTTCTGTTGTGTGTTGACCGCTGCTCTCTCTTTCCACTGTAATATTAACATACAAGCGAAAAAAAAAAACAAGACATAAATAACTAACAAAAAAAAAATGCAGCTGCATTTCAGTATTGTAATCTGTTTTTGAATTGGGTATTTTGTCTGCGCACTCTCTCCTCTTTCATTTTGTGCATCTCCAGTATGCTATCATCACTAACTGAAAACACAAAATACTTATATTTTTTATATTTAGCTAATGCCTTAAGCCTCACACAAACCTTACTGGACATTTAAGATTTTCATCAAGCTGTTATGTAGTATGTTTATTAAGCCATTGGCTGCTTGCTCCCTAAAGTGTAGGCAAAACACACCCATAGACCTCTATGAACATTTAAAGTGGTATCTTACTGAGTGGGGGAATTCCTTCCCTACTTTGTCTACGTCTAAATGTGGGACCTAAAATTGAGAAAGAATGAAAAAGTTAGCGTTATTAATTAAGAGGAACTTTCCCATGTAGTTTAGACATACCCAGTTTACGTTTTAAATAATGTCTAGTTTTATAATAATCTGAAAGATGCTTTCAAAACCACTGATCTATTATTACCATGTAACGTAATAGTGGCTAAGGAATGTTTCTTTGTCTTCAATGTTTTCAGTCTTGCCATCTCTCTCTCCAGTTCCTTTAGCTGTCTCTGCATCTCCATAATCTGTCTCGACAGCTTATCATATTGTTTGACTGCAGGAAATCACAAAATATCAAGAGAATTGTTTTTTAATGTCATTCACAAAAACAAAAACAAAAACATTTAAAACTCAAACATTCTTCTATTCATAGAAAAATAATTAACAATAAACGGCAAAGTTCACTCAAAAAAATTAATTGTAAAAGGCTAAATTAAATCTGTTCATCATATAAAGTGAACATGTCTTTCCAGTCACTTAAAGTCTCTTAATGAATGTTTTGAAAATTGTTTGGGAAACAGACTTTCAATGGAGGGAAAGAAATCTCTCAGATTTCATTAAAAATATCTTCATTTGTGTTCTTAAGATGAAGAAAAAATTGGAACATCATGAGGGTTGAGTAATTGATGACAGAATTTTCATTTTTGGGTGAACTATCACTTTCAATGTCACACAAACCTTGCAGTATATTTATGTTTTATATATGTTTTTATATGTTGTATAAGTTATATTTTAGTATTATATGATCATCCTCAAACATTGAAATAACATCACACACTTGTATCAGACTTACTGTTATGTTGCATTTTCTCTTCGTCCTTGCCATCAAGAAGCTGTAATTCTTTTAGATTTTTCTCTTGTAGGTTTGTTTGTTGTATTAAGTCATCGATCTCTTCAGTTTCACAAATCTCATTCATCTCTGCCAGAATTTTTCCCATGGTATTAGACAGATATTTATATTTCCAAGTATTCTCACTCATTTGAAGCTCTAAAATGAGTCAAATATCAATGTAAACCCATTATCACTTTATTGCAGGCATATTTGAAAAGAAAATCTAAGAAATCTAACATTTGCTAAATGCACAATATCTTCATAATATCTAAATGTTTAATATGCCAACTTAGTATGAATAAAGAAAGACATGGAGACATGAAAGTAACATTGGTGTGTTGCCATGGAAAGCACTCAAATATGAACCCAATAAACAAAATATATGATTCAATGAACTGCAGAAATTAGCTAGAAAAGTAGCAAATGCAGTTCTTTTATTTTACCTCTCACTTGTAGGTGAACTATTCCTGTCTTCTGACATCCATCCTTAAAGACTGTGCATGTATAGTCTCCTGAATCTGATGGTTGAACATTTCTCAAAGTCAATGAAAGATTTCCTCTCTCCAGCTCCTGGAAGAACAAACTCACTCGGTTCTCATAGTAACTACATGTTTCTTTCTGCCCCTTATTATACTGATAAATGAGCTCTGTCCCTCTAAACCATCTGATGTCCATGGACACAGCATTGGTTTCAGGTATTAGATGAACAGGTAGGACGACATCTTCTCCGGGATCAGCAGATATAGTGCCATTAGGAACCACCAGACCAACGTCTTTGGCTGGAGAGAGAAATATATTGTCTGAGGCATGAATGGTACCCATTCAAGCTTTGAAACCAAATTAATTATGGTGAAAAAATAAACTGATAAATCTTTACTAGTGTAAGAAATAAAACCTGAAAAATACTTACAGTTGATATGGAGAAAAATATATTCTTTTATTGCTTGATGTTCATGGATGACTTCACAAATATAGATGCCCCTCTGTGATGTTCTGACATCTCTGAGAGTCAAAGACACATTTCCATTGTGTAGATCTTCCAATGAGAGACCCACTCGACCCTCACAGCTCTCTATCATTCGTCTATCCTTATAATGGAAGACCAAATCAGCCTTACTCCACCACTTGATCTCCATTGAAGCAGCACTGATAGCTGGCTTAAGATTACATGACAGAACAGCATCATCTCCAGGTCTACAAAATATAATGTCAACTGGACAAACCAGAGACAACTCTGAGAAAGAGAAAAGAAACAATGAAACATTACTCCTGTGTCATTTTGTAACAGTGTTTAATGTCAAAGTCAAATCACAGATCATTTTACTTGCCTTGATTGGTTTCTAAAAAATGTTTAGCTTCAGCCATTTTTAATGTTTCTGGAACTCTGAGACAGGAAATTCATTGAAAGCCTAGAAAACAAACTACGACAATGAATGTTTCAATAAAATATCTCCTCTCATCTTATTTTGATGTGAATCTACCTTATAGCAAGCATAAAATACAGGTGAGTGGTAAATTGATTCAATTCAAATTCTGTCAATTTAAATAAAACAATAATAACACTAAAAAAAGTAAAACTAAAAAGCGTAATAAATGTAAATGCAATGCTGTTTTATGGACATAAAGGGAAATCAAAATGTGAGACAAAATAAACAAAATAGTTGTGAGTTAAGCAATAATTACAATAATTTCATTTTGAAAACAAAGCTTGATGGGCTACCATCAGGGCAGTTCTAGGATTTCATCATCAGGGGGTTTAGCCCTTAGTGAGAATGCGCAGCAAGAGACTATTGCCCATGTGGTGCCTCTTTGTAAATCAGCACCACTACATTACTATAGTAAGCCAAAAGTAGCCTACTATTTGGACTGATAATAAGTAGATACAAAAAAAACCTGTAAATTATATGATGCTACCGTCTCTCTGCAGTACAGTCCAAATCTGTACATGTGTACTGTTTTAGTAACAGAAAATGTTCATATTATTTTTAACAAGCATTACTGTTAACTAGCTAAAAAAATATTAAGAATTTATATTTTTATAAATATATATTAAGAAAAAACACTTAAGGATTTTTTCTACTGTCCTGGTAAGAACAAATAAATAAATTACAAGAAATAGCACAAATAAATACAATTAAACAAATTAGCAAAATAAATAAGCAGTACTTAGAGCTTGTGAAAACTATTAAGTAAATAGGCCTATACACAGACACCTATGAAAGCTACAGAAGTTACTTAGTCGAGAGCAGTGAGTGATTCTCTTTTTCTTTTGTTGTTTTATTAACATTATCAACATAGGAAACAGAAGGTATGAGGCTGCTGTCACATTAAGACCTAATGCACGAATCCCTTATATTGACACACATCTGATATTCTCTTAAATGTTTAAATTCACTTAAGATATAACCGACTGTGTTTACATGGATACTTCTCAAGACGGGCATTTTGACATAGTTTTTTGTGTCAAGACGTGAAAGAGAACTTAATTTGGTACTCGCGTGCCTTCTAAGAAGTGGCTTTCTGTGTGCGTGCTTGAGGTGTGGTGCGCACACAGGAACGATCTATCACAGTGCGCGAGTACCGCATCAAGTTCTCTTTCTTGCACTTGAATGGCTTAAAAATCACTTGATTGTTAAAAAGACTTAAAAACATGTGAAAATTATAAACTTTCCTGAGGAAGCAGCACTGGCCCGATCATTCAGATAGGTGATTAGTCCCCCTGAAGCCCCCCTTAAAAAGGGTCTAAAACCGCCCCTGGCTATCTTAACATCAATCCCTCCATGGAATTTTTTTTTTGTTATATCTTTTGTAAAAATCTTAAATCTTTTGTGAAAATTCTGCAAATTCACCAATACTTCTCACCAGTTATTATGAATTCATTCCCAGATTTTTTTTTCAATGAATGAAATCAAAACAGCTTATTTATTCACTCTTTGCATACTTTACGTTTTCCTTTGTGAGTTTTATAATTGGTCAGTAGAACTATTTGAAAAATATTGAATCCACTCATGAAGTTCAAAACGAACAAGTGAAAGTTTCACAAAATCCATCCAAATAAAAAGTTTTTAGCATAATAAAAGTAAACAAAGCAATTCAAGGTTGTATGTAAAAAAAATCCATCATAAATTCACATTATTGTATTTAAAATGGCAGATTAGCCTGCAAAATCAAACAATAAAAATTTGAAATGTCTTAGTTTAAAACCTCCCATGTTTTAATACATGAGTGTATAGGCCCTACAGCAAGAAATTGAACAGTAGAAGCAACAACAATGCATAAGCCTAAATCAGGCATGTTACTGCCCCCTACTGGGAAAACAGATAGACAGCAAACACACTTTCACTTTCTCTAGCCTTAGATATGATAAAAACCAATAAGGAAGATGCCAAAACGCTCAAAGTTACTCAATTACTGATTTGTTTAAATATCAGTAATTAAATATCCATTTCAATCATACGAAATTCTGGGAATGAATTCATGATAGTGAGAAGTATTGGTGAATTTGGATAATTTTCACAAAAGATTTTCAAGATTTTTTTTACAAAAGATATAACAAAAAATGTTCCATGGAGGGATATTTATCAGTATAAGTATGTTTAAATATCGAAACGCAATTTAAGTCCCAACATGGCCTTTTGAACTAATCCGAAAAACATACAAGAAGATTCTAAGTATTTTAACTCGTTTCACTTTCACTTAGAGTGATTTGAGAAATAACCCCGTAAATGTTGGATTACTTAACTTTTTCACGAATCCCATGAATTTGGCACATTAACTACACTGAATATTCTCTTTCAATGTAGTCTTTATAAGTAGCCTAAGTATTAAGAGAGTAGGCTAAGATTAATCTCTCGCGGATAGACGGTCATTAATAGAACAGTCAATAAACAGTCAATAACCCAGCATCAGATTTTGTTATAACTCACAGAAATAAGAGACTTCTGACAAATATGAAGACAGCAAAGAGAGAAAAAAAAAAACATTCATTTTAGGTTGTTTCTGACCTTATTGTCTCATCTTCCAGAGCAACACGAGTCCAATTGCAGTAGCTGTACTGAATCCTAATCGAAAGATCAACGTACTGTCTTGAAACCAGTTTTTCAGGTTCTGCATTTAACCCTGTATGTACTTGCTATGCTGTGCCAAGTGTGCCACCGCTATGAGGCGCTACAGGCCCTTTTCACAGTGACGTCAGCTAACTTCCGCTTTCCGGCAAAGCAGTGTATCTGTGCTTCTGTTATACCTTTACACCGGAGACTTCTCGGGAAAATGTAGGAAAAACTTGTAATATGAAAGGCGTTATTTAAGAGTTCAGACTAATAATGTTAATGTACTTACAGTCGGGTTCTTTTGAGAACGTTTTTCTAATGTTAATGTACTTACAGTCGGGTTCTATTGCGAATGTTTTTCTGCATCTGCTTTAGATGGGTGGCTTGCTTGCCGCAACTGCTTGCTTTCAGATTTGTATGAAACGATTATGTGTCCACGCAAATTAGATACTTGAAACCTTTTCACTTGTTATTTCGTTTTTTGTCATTCCTTGGATAATTTGTGAGTACACTGTGTAAATTAAATTCCCCCTATAGTTGGGCAATAAAAAGACAAACAACGTGATTTTGTTTTTATTTACTATATGGGGAAATTACATGGACACAAGTAATATTTTTTTTAATATTAAATCGTTTTACTACATGGCAAGTTTCACATCCACAAAGGCAAGTGGTCTGAAAAGAAACTCATTATCCAGTTCAAGAAT